AAATACAGGATGATACTATTTATCCTATCTTGAGCTAACAGGTAGCTCAAGATACCTACTGAGTTACCTATAGACAGAAAACTGCACAGACCTAAAAAAGAAAGGACTCTACAAGCTGGGTATATCAATTTGAAATGTTTAATGAGATTCACTTTCAGACATCCAAACAATTGCACATGCTGTGAATTAGCTCCATAACCCTCACTTGCTAACTTTCTTGATAAACACGCCAAGAGCTACGTGTTTCTAACTTCGTAATTCAAATTTCCATTTACATCCATCTTTTCTTTTTCTTATGAATCTTGACTCAGTGTTTCTTCTACAGTGACCATATATCATGTGTAGCACAAGCAGGGCAGAGATAAGAAAGTTTTGCAAAACTCATCTTTGTGTGCATAGACTTTGATGTTCCTGGCAACTGCAGACTGAAGTTTCTACTGATGTCTCAGTTATCAAATACTTTTCAGGATTAGAACCTCTGCATGCTTCTCCCTCCCTCACACACAGAAAAGGCCTCTTAAAGAGCATAACCCTAAGTAAACGGAATAATTTCAACAAATTTGAGGTGAATTAGATTTTATTTTTACTTTGGGTTATTAGCTGTAAAGCATGCATTATTTACCACGCCTGCGTTACAGAAAAGTTTTATAGCTGAATAGGTGTTTTAAAGTACTTTATTCTTTCCTCAGAGCAATTTTAGGAAGGAATGCCTTCAGAAACAACCATGACTTCAGAATACACAGTTCTACTGAGCACAGATTGTTGAAGATCGTGACTGGGAGGTATTTATCAATCACAAGATTGACTACAGATTCCTATCTACTTCTTATTTGGAGGATGAACACAGATTCGTCCTCCTATGCTTAATTTTCTAACTGTTTAAAAAGCTGTTTGGGAGCTACCATTGCTAGATTAAATGGGCCTTTTTTTATTTTTATAGCTATATGCAAATGCTAACAATCAAATACTGCATCCAACAAGTTCCAAAGACTAAGGAGATCCTATAACTGTCAATAACCAGAAACTCTCTGGTTATGCCAAAACCTGGAAGCAGAGGAAGAAACAAAGGTAAATGTATTGGGTTTGTGTGGTAAGGTTTTGGTAGCGGGGGGTTACAGGGGTGGCTTCTGTGAGAAGCTGCTAGAAGCTTCCCCTATGTCCAAGAGAGGCAATACCAGCCAGCTCTAAGATGGACCCGCCGCCGGCTAAGGCCGAGCCAATCAGCGATAGTGGTAGCGCCTCTGGGATAATATATTCAAGAAGAAGAAAAAGTTGCAGGGCACACAGAAACAGCAGCCAGAGAGCAGAGTGAGAACATGTAAGAGAAACAGCCCTGCAGACCCACAGGTCAGTGCAGAAGGAGGGGGAGGAGATGCTCCAGGCGCCGGAGCAGAGATTCCCCTGCAGCCCGTGGGGAAGACCATGGTGAGGCAGGCTGTCCCCCTGCAGCCCAGGGAGGTCCACGGTGGAGCAGATCTCCACCTGCAGCCCGGGGAGGACTCCACGCCAAAGCAGATAGATGCCCGAAGGAGGCTGTGACCTTGTGGGAAGCCCGTGCTGGAGCAGGCTCCTGGCAAGACCTGTGGCCCCGTGGAAACAGGAGCCCACGGTGGAGCAGGTTTTCTGGCAGGACTTGTGACCCCATGGGGGACCCACGCTGGAGCAGTCTGTGCCTGAAGGACTGCATGCCGTGGAAGAGATCCACGCTGGAGCAGTTTGTGAAGAACTGCAGCCCATGGGAAAGACCCATGTTGGAGAAGTTTGTGGAGGACTGTCTCCCGTGGGTGGGACCCCACACTGGAGCAGGGGAAGAGTGTGATGACTCCTGCCCCTGAAGAGGAAGGAGCAGCAGAGACAATGTGTGATGAACTGACCCCAATCTCCATTCCCTGTCCCCCTGTGCCACTGGGAGGGGGTAGGCAGAGAATCCAGGAGTGAAGTTGTGCCCAGGAAGAAGGGAAGGGTGAAGGGAAGGTGTTCTGAGATTTATTTCTCATTACCCTACTCTGGTTGTATGGCAATAAATTAAGTTAATTTTCCCCAAGCTGAGTCTGTTTTGCCTGTGACCGTAATTGGTTGAGTGATCTCTCCCTGTCCTTATCTTGACCCACGAGCCCTTTGTTATACTTTCTCTACCCTGTCCAGCTGGGGGCAAGGAGTGATAGAATGGCTTTGGTGGGCACCTGGCATCCAGCCAGGCTCAACTCACTGCAGTAAATTACTTAGCAAGTTACAAAATGGAAGGGGAAAAGGGGATATGCTTGGATTCTATAGTATGTGCAAATTAGCATATTATAGAATTAAGTATCTTTCTGCACAAAAAAAACCCCAAACCATATGAAGTTCCCAGCAAGTGACAAAGAGCAGAATGGCAGGTCTAATGAGCTCCTGGCACAAGAACAATATACTGCAACCATTTTTCTATACAGATTCAATGGTTCCTAAGTAAGACCTCTGAAAGTCTGCAGTTTATGTTAAAATCCAGATCCCAAACAGTAGAATAACACAAAGGTATGTATTTAACTTAGTTAAACCCTTACTAGTTAAAAAATATCTCAATGCAGTTAAGATTATGTGTTAAAGCCTCTCTGGTTAAGATTTGCAAGCTATGCAACGCATACATATGCAACATGCACAAACTTTGTACTTAACGGCAACAGGTATCAGCTAATATTGCACAAAATTAGGCTTCTTTAGGAAAATATATTAAAAGGTCAAAAAGACTTGATTGCTAAAGTTGCTCAAAACTGATTATCAAAATATGTTTTCCTACTCCAGAGAAGTACCAGCCAAATCTTCTCCCTGGAGCTCCATCTACTGACATCAAATAAAAGCTGCCACATGTTACTCCTCAGAAGTAACATCTGCAGCCTTAACATTAGGGACCAAAGTTGGCAGTGAATGACATTCCCTGCACAGATATTAAAAGTGCTTCCTCCACTGTAAGAAGCAGCAAGCATAATATAACGGCATTTACCTTCCAGGGATTCAATTCCAGTTGCTTGGGCCAACAGGTCTTCATGTCTTGCAACAACCTTAAAAAAAAAAAAAAAAAGAGAAATCAAAAAAAAAAAAAAAAAAGAGAGAAATCAACACAGAAAAATGGGGATGTATGCTAATACTAATACATCATCATCATCCCTACATTAGGCAGACACAGGAAAAAGCAGCCATGCCTTAAAGATTAAAGAGTTTTCAGAATACGTTTTAATTCACAAAAGCAGCAAGCTCAGAACAAGAAGGTCAGCAACTGCAGCATAGCTGACATCTTAATTAAAGCCAGCAGAGCAATCACATTTCAACACACCTTCATATACAATAATAATTGTAAATGTAAACTTATTAATCACACAGTAATAATGTATAGTCATATTTTTAATATTTTCTTTTCCATTTATGACATTTAGAAATAGTTCCCAAAGAATTTACCAACTGGGGTAGGGGGAGGGAGGAAGCAGGTTTTGAAACTACACAAAAACTTAGCATGTGTTCTCACTGCAAGGTCCACTGTGGATTTGTAGCATCTGCATAGATTTTACCAAAAAACCTTCTACTATCAAAACTCAAAAGCCTTTCTGAAGGTGCGGAGGTGCGTTAACATAAGTTATATTTGCCCAGCTAAAGGTAAGCCTTAGACCATAGGCTACTCTCCAGCACAGAATGAAAGGGTGCAAGTTAAATCATTCCCTATCTTCTCACAACTGCCATCCCAAAACACGGGCCAGTGTTTCTGATAGCTGACATGATCATTTGGAAAGAGTCAGGGAACATCCTTACAAGGAAGAGTGGAACCTCCATGTATACAGAGATTGGCTGCAGAAACTGAAAACAAAGCAGTACATGGCTTCTTGGTAGAAGCATTAAGAGTGGGTTTGACTGAATAAGTATCACATTCACTACCAGTTTTACTGGAAGTGGTACCTTTAGTTACTGCTTGCAGAGTACACTGGGCAATTTCAGAAGGAACAAGATCATAAGATTACTAAGCTTTTGCCTAGTTTATATTGACCACCCCAGAATAACAGGTATGCTTTAAACTTACTTGTAAATGAAGCTCTTTATCCAACTGACTAATACCTTGGGCAAGTTTTGCTAGTTGCTCAGCTATCACAGCCTGATGGATAGACTGGGAAGTGTAAGCTTTCACATCAAAGTCCTCTCTGAAGAAGTCAGCATAACATTCTGAAAAAGATTTAGATTTTATTTTTATGCTTCAGACCAGTTAAATAATATTTATGGACCTAAAGCGTACAGTTCTCTGACCTTCAATTTCTCCAAATGTAACAGCATATGCTCTATCACATAATACAAATGTGACACTGATTTGAGAAGAGACCACAACCAAGAGAAATGAGTTTGGAGCTGATGGCTGGGGTGCGTAAATGGTGAAAAAGACACACGTTCCTTTACTCCCCACAGCCTTTTCTCGAGTAGAATACAGTAAAACGTATTGATACCTTCTCCTTCAAACTTCACAGTGTAACCAGGGTGAGGCTATTGAGGTTGTACCCATAATCAAACACATACCAGTCACCTTCACGTCCCTGAGGACTGGAGTGGCAGCAGACGCGACTTCATGAAATCACACCGGTCTCTTACAAGGGTACTGGTTTAAAAACTACTAAATTAACGATACCGCAATGATGATTCGGGACCAGACAAGACCCGAGTTTCCAGGCAGCACATACTAGCATTACCGAGCGCCTCCGTCTCTCCTTTCGGTGCACTTTTTTTCCCTTTTGGAGCAAGCGGCCACAGGTGAAGGGGCCGCGCCACCGAGACCCCCCTGCCGGCAGCGGGAGGTCTCCTCCCCGAGGAGGGGGCCGCTCCGCAGGCGCGGCAGCACTCCCCAGCGCCCGCCGTCCCTCCAACGCCGAAACTTTCCGTCGCCTGACAGCGCGGGGGTTCACCGCCTTCCTCGCCCCGTCCCCTCACACGGCTCTGCCCGCCCGGCCCAACACCGCCCTCGCAAAGGACCCTCCG